TTGTGCACTTTCAGTCTCTCATCCCTGCAAAACCCCTCCCATTGTAAGTCGCTGTTTGTATGTCGCACAATGGTCCTGGGGGAATGTTATGTCATGCTGCTCTGTACCTATATATGGATGGTATGACAATAAAGCTCACTTGACCTGACTTGGTGTTCCCAGTCTCCCGCTTTGTGCTGCCTGGGATAGGCTCCTGGAGAGGCTGACCTGGATAAGCAGTTAGTTAGATAGAAGATGAGTGTTGGCTTAGAGATTACGTCTTTTTGGTTGTGTGTGCATGTTTTCTTGAATATCTCTAGGCTGAGAACTTTGATAAGGGGTGCACCTCTGTGTAGATTTAAGCATACCCTGCCCCCTGTCCCCCCCCATGCCTGATTTCAGTAAATATGTATTAGCTGTTTTCTGTTCTGTCAATGGAAAGACATTCTGATATGATATGGAGGAAAATTAAGGAAAGGTTCTTCACTTGATTTACATTTAGAGTCATGAGCATGGTCTGAAGAAGCTGTATGTCAGCATGAATACTAAGTATTTGTCAAACTCCGGTGAGGCCGGAAGTAAATGCTGTGGCCTGTGGCTGCATTTTCCCAAAAAGTAATAACGGGACAACGGGGAGCATTTTCTCTCCCGGTGCTGAACACAAGGGGGTCGCAGTCATGTGGTTGGAGAACTCTGGACATGCCACTGAGTGAATTAAGGCAGTTAGCTGAGGTTAGTCTGCCATTTGGAGCCAAGGAAGTGTCTTACCTTCATGCAAACACCCTACATGGGTCCACTCATTAACTGTGATACGAGTGGTTCATTGGCCTCATTGATTATTCAGTCTTATTTACACAGTCCTAGATAAGTGTTGCCTTTTTGGGATCGATGTGCTCTTGCTGACCTGCTTTATCTTGACGTGTGGCTCTGTCATAGTAAATCACTGCGTTTCTAAACATAAACGTGTGTCTTGGTCAGCTCAGTATTTCTGCCTTAAATAGGTCAATACTAAGGATGCACTGATTCAACTTTTTCTGTCCCGATACCAATACCGATACCTGGGTTTTGGGTATCAGCCAATACTGAGTACCGATCCGATACCAGTTTTTAATAAGCTATAGGCTTTTGCCTTACTGTGTGGAAGAGGCTGTGATCATTCTTTTATGTGTAAGGCAACATCAGGCTTAACTTAAACCTTAAACAAAGCTTTCCTAACTTTGTAAAACTAAATGTAACACCTGTGAGTGTGTATGTATATGTGTGTATATATTTATCATATATTGCATATAATGACAATTCAGTAAATGTGTAATGTTGTTTGTGTGTATAAGTATATATAAATATATATATTTACCTTACTTCAAGTCTGAATTTTAAACTCAATCATTTATATCAGAACTCTGAATTCTCAGCTTTGTACAGAAGAACAAAACATTGACTGTACTGGTTGATTTATACTTCTACGTCAAATGGACACATAAGTATGACGTAGCCGTGGACCCTACGCCATAGCCTGATGTGCACCTCCCCAAAAATGTAACTACATGTCGCGGCAATGCAGACCGCAAGGATTGTGGTTGGTCTGCTTGGTGGCATTCCTATTTTTTATAGGAGCGAAGAAAGCGTACTTATACTGGTGATGGAACCTGTAGCCTTAGTTATATCTAACATTAAATAACTTACTTAGTTTAATGTTAGATATAAATAACGCTTCAGTTTCGTTTTCTCTTGCGTCTCCAGAATTTGCGCTAAAATTTGTTGCTGCGGTATTTCTTTGCTAGCATTAGCAGACTAATGTACTCTGCACTGTGGTGCATCTTTAGATGTTTGATCAAATCGCTTGTGTTAAATGACATGCTGTCCCTTCCTCCACTTTAGCAGAACAGAGCTTACAATCTGCTTTACTTCTCTCGTCGTCCCTTATCTGAAAATATGTCCAAACTGCTGACATCCGTGGCGTATACTCAACAATTTTGCCAGTGCCGGTGTTCTGTGAATTTATCCTTCCCGAATGTTTCCGGTTGACAAATCTCCCGGCCGCTAGTCGCCAAAGTCTGATTGAGCAGCACAAAAAATGCAGCGGCTTTGAGTTTTAATGTAATGTTGCACTTAAGTGGTATCGGTTCTTGGTATCGGACAATTTTTACGAGTATGAGCGTAGTATCGCCTGATACCCGATGCCGGTATTGGTATTGGTGCATCCCTAGTCAATACTGTTCAACCCCAAAGAGCTCAGTTAGAGATTCCTATTAGCAGGATAAAGTGAGTCAAAGGGTAAAACACCTGCAGCAACCAACTAATGTTGTTAAATACTTAAGTGTTTGAAATTAATAACCACCAGCCACTCCCTTGCTTCTGTGCTTCAGAGTATAGACACAATACATTTGTAAAATAAATTAAGGTTCTCGTCTGTCATGATTTTTTTTTTTTATTATATAAGCTTCTATTCTGGTTTCATTCTGGCTTTTTTAGCAGATGTTTTGCTTTTGTTAGTCTTCATATTTCACTGTCACTGCAGGCAATGCTCCTTCCTTTAAGCAGCGTAAATGTTTTCCTGGTCCTCTGCACGTGATGGATGTGAGGACGATCTTCCCTTGTGAGCTATGAATGCAAAACCATTCCTTGCAGTGTGGATGATTGCGGAGGGGTCATGTTGGGGTTTACCGGCATCCTAGCAACATATAGCTTCTTTCCCTGGTCTGCTCCGTAAACGCGTGGAAGACAAGTCAGTTGCATTGACAGAAAATTGAGGAAATCGCTCAAGTTTTATAAAAGTTGTTCAGAACACCCTGGCTTACAAATTTTTTCGGCTTTTGCTTTGTTTAAGTGCTCAAAAAGTGGTACTCTAATAATTCCCATCAAACATACAGTGAGAAAGGCTCCAGTTCTATACAGTCTGAGTGAGGCCTTCATTCCAGTGCCTACTGCAGGCAGCCATGGTAACCACTTTCCCATGGAAACTTAGAGGATCCGCTAGGGTCAACAAATCACACATCTGACTCCACGCTAAAGCTCAACCCCCCCTCTTTTTTAGGATTTACAAGGCATCACTGATGATGACACTGTTCAATTGATAAATCACTCTAGCAGGATATATTTTGTGATTCTGTGCTCTATGTAGAGTATTTGATGGTTCCTCTTTGGAATTAACTTGCCGCACTTTAACTAACGTTGGGGAATCGATTGTTTTCCACAAAATTGCCGTAAATTGCAGGGCAACGTTTGTATTGACTGTGGTGCCTTTTAAGTAAAAGGCAGGAATTGCCCCATAACTGCTTAATGATTTAATTTATAAGTACATTTTTTTCTGTATTGGGGTTGAAAGACAAATGTCTTAGGTATCTAAAGGATGCCTTTTATATTTATAAAACATCTTTTAGACATATAAAAAGAACTTTTAGATAACAAATGACACATGAATGACTCAGTGACACTGATAAATGTCAGATTAAAAACCACAATGTTTTTCTTGACTTACAGCTTGCTTCCTTATTGAATGGTAAAACTCAACTAAACTTGACAGATGCATAAGTAAAATGCAATTACTTTCGATGTGTAGTTTTTAAATGTATGTGTATTTGCTGAGTTAAGACAAGTTCACCTAGAATACAGATGTTGAACCAGTTTAAAAAGACACACACTAAAACACTATAGCATGATAGGAATAGATGTCTGAGTTTGACAGCATTAGTGACAGTGGGTAACAGTGCCTGGTGACATGTCAGGGTAACTAGTTTGTGACTCGTGTCCTGTGTGTCACTCTGACTGGTATGTGACTGCAACACAATTTGAATGAATGAATGAATGAATAGCATAGATTCCATGAAGCCATTCCATTTAATCCATGAAGCTTCCAGCCCTAAGTATCAAGGTACTTTAGGTAAAGCATGCATTGATACCAGTATTAGACTGCACATCCATAGCTCTAGGTCTCTGCGTAAGGGTTTCCTTTGACTCTGAAAGCTGTAGAGTTAGTGTTTATCTGTTTATCTTTATACCAAGAATGCTGGTAGGAAATAGAAAGATCTGATGTATGTTTTTTTCTTGTAATATCTGTATTGCGATGTCCAGTGTTTCTACATCTTTCCATGGTGAGCTTTTCGGACACTTTCAACCAAGCAGCTGATTTCCTCATCTTCCTCAACTTAATGTCAAGTGATTAAAGGTCTCCTAATAATCCTCCCCAAATTAGTACAAGTGCACTATATGAGCTGTACTACTTGCTCGGCCTCGGTGTGATTGTGAATTTAAAAGCAAGTAATCAGAGGTATTATTGTGTTATGATTATACCGTATTGACTAGATATTAGCCGAAATCAAGAGGGGCTGTTCTGTCCTGTATAAACCAGTGAACAGACGGGCTTTGAGGCATGATTGGTGGAGGAGGTTTGGGCTTCTCTGTCTTGGTAAACGCAGACTCGTCCTGTTCAGCATCATACCGCCTGGTCACATGCCATCCTTGCCACCAAAAGTGATTCCTGTCTTCATTTCATACCTTGAATGACAGCTGTAATGATTTTTTAACAAGGTACAGATTGAAAATGTCCAAATCTGCAGTATGGAAACTAAACACTGTGGCAAAGGTATCTATCTGGTGTGTGACAGGTGCTGGCTTTCTTTGCCTTCATATTTTTAGAAACAGTTTCACAACTGCCCTATCTCTGTGAAATTTAGATGTGTTGTAATCCTTTTAAGTTTGTTTCAAGACCTTGGCATCCTTTAACGATTCCAGACACTTTGGCTTTTCATACGGTTTCCTCAATAAATTGATTAGTTAGTTAATTGGTTGATATGTTAAAAGTTGAATTTGAATTTTTGGGTTGGTGCATCGCTTATGGCGAGTCATTGATTGGCCAGGCGGCAGTAAATAACATGTTAAACAATCTGTGCCTTATTGATATATTGAATAGTAGCAGGAGAGCTATGAGGTTAATTGAACAATCTGTCAGTGGTGAGTCTGCTGCATATCCTCATACGAAGTGTTGTCTGCTAACATTAACCTGTTTTGTTTGTCCCTTGTAGGCGGAAACGTTCGTTTGGGTGAACACCACTTCCCCGCATGCTCAAAGTGTTGCACGGGCCAAGTACGACTTTCTCTTTGGCAAAGCAGACGAGCCAAGTTCGTCCGAAAGCGGTAAGGCCGTCCCAGGTCATTTTCTGTTTAATGTGGCAGCGTTACCTGCCGGCTACTTTGAGGGACAGGACCGTTTACGTTCCCAGAATATGCAGAAGCCAAGCTTTCCAGGATTCTAGTGTATCCCAAAGCATGTATTACAATGACCAGGTTTTGCTCGGAATGTTGTCTCAATGGGCAACAAAACTGTTAAGAATAAAGACAAACGATCAGAAATAAAATGTAAGCAATGGTTCATATATTGAAGAGATAGAGTATTTTTGTAGTATTGCATGTGAAACGTTTTAGGAACGTTTTGCCAGTGGGGCTACAGGAACGGAAGGCGGATTCCAGGAATGAAGGATGATGACAGGAGGGGAGACTGTTAGGTGGCTGGTGGACACAGACAAAAGCACTCTGGAAACGCTGTGTGGCTCAGAGTGCAGGAAATGCTTGCACTGGTTCCTACTTCATAGCTTGTATTTTTAGAGTGGCCAGTATTTGTGCTGATGGGTGTCTTTGCCTAGACCCAGTTCATTTGGATGTGTTTTCAGGTTCCACACAGTGTGCTAATTCTATCCTCTATAATGCATGCTCTTCGTATCTATGTTTCAAAGCATGGTAAGAATCCATATACTTTGCCCAGCTTGCCCAATTATTCACCAGTTTGTGAGAACTACTTTGTCTTGTCCTAATGCGTATTAATTGGTAATCTCAAATGTTTAATGTTTTTTTTTTTTCTCTGACATTTTTGACTACATGACTACATACATGGATTTCTAAACATTTTAAAATACATGTTTTGTTTTTATATAGTAATCTATTAAAATGAGCCTTAATTGTATATGCTTATTTAGTGCGCATTATTTGCCATAAAAAGCTTTGGGGCAGATGCTCATCTGACTTGAGATATCTATCTAAATCATGTGCTAATAATCATTCTGCGATTGACCTGTTGGCTGATGTCAGCTCTGCAGTCTGGGTCCTTTTGTGTAGTAAGGAATGGACTTTCCCAGCTTACCAAACTGGTAATGGGTGGCTTGCTTGGCCTGTCGGAAAACAGCTTCCTGTAAATTACAGTAAACTGCGCTTTACATCTCGGGACAGCTTGAGAACTGAAGATGAAGATCTGTAATTTGATAATTGTACATTATGTTTCTGCACCTCTACTCTACCCCAGCTCATGAATACTTGCTTGACTATCTTGAGAGACCCGAAATGCACAGTAACGTCATTATGCTCTGAAAATGGCTGAGCTCCTATCGATTGAAGCGTCTGTTTTTTTTCCTGTGTTGATTTCATACTGGCTTCTGTCCGAATGGGAATTTCGAGCAGCGTGTTGATAAGTGTCTAGCTCCCTGTATTTCCTCCTTGCGGAAGCCATGTACTTCCAAAAGCTGCTGCTCCCTTCTCACTGTGGCGTGTGTCTGTTTGCAGAGAGGCCCGTGTGTCTGGCCACTACTGCGTTTGCACTACCGCCTGCCCACGTGTTCAATTGTTCAGCTATAGACTATAAGAGGGGTTATTGCACAGCTATCTGACTCCATGGAGTCTTACACAAGGGCCTAGTGGGGTTGCAACTATTCTGTCAAACACAGGGTTCAAACCAGTGACCTTCCGATCACAGACAGACGGCTACCCCACTGAGCCACACACCTGATAACCTGATGCAGCTTGGGAACTTCATAACGTTTATAAGGACTAACAGGAGCAGGACTGCAGAAGAAGGAAGAGGAGACTTGTTAATATTTTAAAGGAACCGATTGCACTTCCTCGTCACGTGTTGTTTGAAGAGACGAGCCAAGTTCGGCTACTTTGATGGTGCATTAACGGGTGGCGTTTGGTGGCTGTTGCAGGGACAAGGAGCAACTAGTTCGCTTGTGGTTTCCCCGCCAAGAGGTCGACCTCTAGAAACAGGCCTGATGACTGTGCTGAAATATCACCTGGTATCAAATTCCCTGCAGTTAGAGAGCTCTGATAGTGGCACAATCGGCTCATTGCAAGTAGGTGCGTGTATATGATATGCACCAGTGCCTATATCATTGTCCGTAGGCTGGGAAAGGTGAAGTCCCAGATTTCACCTAAGTTATGTTAGACTGTGGTTATGTTAGACTGTGGAATCCACCTCCACCTTGTCTGGACATGCACAGTGTGCAAGGGCAGCCCAGCTTTCACTTTCGTTATGCCTCTTTAACCCTAAGAGTGTGTGAGGCATCAGTAAAAGCCTTTGGATGATCTCAGATCAGTTCAAGCTACTAACTATACAGGGTTTACGTCTAGCGCCTACCGGGCCAGTTAGTCCAAAGCGGTTACAGGCTTCTTCCCCATCTGTGTTTGTATTGGGCAGGCTTCCTGAAATATCTGGTATTTTCCTTCAGTTCCAGCATTGAGGACTGTGGCCAAAGTGTGAGTGAAGGCAGATTTACCCTCAAGGGCTCTGTTTACACAGAGGGAAGTGGAATTCCAATTGCTAATTGTTGGGAGGAGCTGGGGGATCAGATATCCTCAATATTGAATGTCTGCGATATTCAAATATGTAAATGCAAATGTAAAGGGTTATTACTAACACCCGTGACCTGTAACTAAGTAACAGCTCAGCAGGAACAGGAGCTAGTCAGTGATGTCCTCTTTGGGCTAAGGATCCTGATCCTGATGTTATCGTGTTATGTATAGATGAATGGGCATCCCTATATCACTCGTATGTGTGCACCTGGTGATTGGCTGGCATCTCATCCAGGGTGTCCCCAGCCTTGTGTCCTCTGCTCTCTGGGTCGGGCTGCAAGCTCCCTGCGACCTTGTACTGGATAAGCGGTTGGCAGACGGGAGGAATCCATTTATATGTCATGTACCAGGAAGAGTCATTTGAATGATCTTTTTACCCCTTGATTTGTGTTGACCCAGTAGCCACATGGTCGCTTTACACACTTTATTCCACATAAGCCTTTTCACAGCATCTGAAAGGGACATCTGCCTGTGCGCATGGGTGAAATGCTGCCCCCTACAGCACCGAGCGGGCAATGGCACCTTCCCAAAAGCACAAGCCCTTGCTTTTGCACAGTGATTCAGTGTTTGCAGTCCACATAAGGGCTATTCACAAGGAGCTGAGCCACAAGAGAGCTATTTTCCTGTAGTCGGCCCCTGCATAAACACACAGGGCCAGGTTTTAATATCCCAGGGATTTCAGAGAAAGATGTACAGCAGCTCATTTAGCCGTTTGGTCCATACATCACGATACATAGTGCTCTAAAATAAAAATTAATAATGATGATAATAAAGTAATTCTTCTCAGAATTTCAAGGCATTTTTCTCTGCCTTTCAGTAGGTCTGTTAGAGCAATGAGGAAAGGTCCTGCAAACTGAAATGTTTTTGTGGTGATCAATATTCCATGCGAGTAATACTCCTATAATCTCAGTGAGGGCTTTGCAGTCCTTCTGTCTAGTGTAATCATGACGGAGGGGGAGCCCTCATTTGAATGAGATCAGACCGAGGGCTGTTGTCTCCCCCACTAAGCGCTTTTAACGTCTGAAATGTGATTCCCTACCATTGAGAGACAGATGAACTACACGCCAATGTGTTTACATCACTGAAGTGTGGATGTAATTGGGAACTTATAGCCTGGATTTATCAAGTTTGCATTGGTGAACTGCGGCCAGTTGACTCTGGATAGTTTTTTAAGAACACTTTAACACCATTTAATAGCATTAGCTGTGACCCTGTACTAATGTGGTGAGAAGATATATGAGTGGTTATATTAATAACATTTTATATGCGATTTTTAAGTAATACTAAATATAGCATTTAGTATTGCATCGGTGCATCGATGATTTAAAAAACATGAAATATTGTTTTTCAATAATTTTAGTAGTTTTTTTGACATCTGACATTGCCGGTAATTATCCGTCCTTTTCCTGCTTTGTAGCAGCAGCTGCTGAAAACGCCCACATTCTGCCAGAAGGAGGCAACGGTACTAATTCGGAAGCATCTGTCCAGCATGGGGCGGCTGTCAGCACTGCAGGGGAGGTGGAAGAGGAGGAGGACCTTAACGAGACGTCACTCTTCCAAGAGATCGACCGCGAGCTAGCAGACCTGCTCACCGACCTGGGGAATAGGAGCCGGGACGCGGCGGTGCGCCGGTGTGCAGACGGAGACCCGGGGGCGGTCCCCCGCGATAGCCACAGCGGGGCAGAGCCAGGCGGGGACGCGGCACCCGGGAGCGAAGGCTCGGAAATTTCCAAATTGGGAAAACCTGAGTCGCCCATGACGACCGACCGCCTCTTTGAGTCATGGACTGAGGCACTGAGGCAGGACACGCTCTCTCTCAGTTCAGCAGTGGCAGAGTTGCCACTCCCAAGCCCTGTGGTTAATGGCAACACTGGCCAAGAGGACCCAGCGGACAGCCCAGCTCCTGCCGCCCTAACATCTGGAGCCAGGATGGACACGGAACCGCCTGCTGCAGCAGAACCAGGGAGCGACTGCTGCCTCCCCTCCCCTGGTCTCCTGGATGAGCCCCTGGAGGAGTCCAGCAAGATCCTGGCTGAAATCCCCGGCATCCTCACGGCCTTCCTGGATGGAGGTCAGGCCAGGGAGAAGCCCCCCAAGAAGCTGCGATTTATGGAGAACAGGACCGACGGGCCGCAGGACTCTGGGCTTCCCGAGCTCCATAAGGATGGCCCACTTGCCCCCGGTGCTGAGCTGGCTGTGGGGGAGAACCCGGGCCCCAGGATGAGCAAAGCCCTGGAGACTCTGGAGGCCCTAGAGAGGAGCCTGAGGAGCAGCACCTCCGAGCCGTCTCCTCTGCCCTTGGTGGGAGCCATGGAGGACGAGGTGTTCAGGACCATCCCGGAGGTGTGCATAGAGAGCCCGGAAAATGGCGAGCCGCCAGACGTGAGCTCCAGGTAACCCCGCCCCCGCATGCCCCCCCTCATGTGCACTTAATTGTATATCTAATTATGAGAACAACCCAGAGGCTGGGTGGGGGTGGGTAGGTGCACTCTGTGAATTTTAAACTTGGCTGCCCCACATAGATCCCCTCAGAGGCAAACTCACAACAGGCCCGTACACATTGCCACGGCGCTGCATGGCCAGGCCCCACCCCACAAAATACGCCAGAATCGTTAGCTGCTCTTTCCTTTTCATTTATTTATTTTTCTCTTTTTCTCCAATAATTTTTTCCAGTCAGTACACAGCTTCATACTTTCGGTTTTTAAACAGTACATTTCTGCTGCAGACTTGACCTGAGGATTCTATATAGAAGCAGCTCTCGAATGCCATTAGTGATCCATTCTACAAACCTTGACGCAAGTCAAATTTTATAGTCAGTTTTAACCCCCCCCCCATCCAATTCAGGCCACCTCATAGCAAAAAACACATAAGCCAAAAATATACTAGTACAGTGGTACCTCGGTTCTCGAACTTAATCCGTTCCGGACTCCGGATCGAATCCTAAAAAGTTCGAGTTCTGATCAAATTTTTCCCATAAGAAATAATGGAAAACCAATTAATTGGTTCCCGGCCCCCCAAAATTACACCTAAATATGTTTTTTTTTTTTCTTAGCATTTAAACAGAAAATGAACAGGATAAAACAAGAAGAGCATTTTTTTCTTAATAGCTTCCAAAACAATAAAGATCTTATCCCAACATTTCCCCTGTCCTGCCCCGATCATCCGCTCCTTCTGTGTGCCACGCCCCCTCGTTAACCTCATGTGGGATCCCCATGTGATCAGCTGTTTCTGGTTGTTGTCATTAGTCTTCTGTATTTAGTCCACGTTTCAGTTTGTTTCCCCAGTCCAGTCATTGGGTGCATTCGACTTGCTTACAGCGCTGGCTTAAAGCAACGCATTCTGATCCTGACGCAATGCATTATGGTTAGATGCATTGCGACCTCTCACCCGGCTGCACTAACTGGAACCGCCGATGTGACGACACACCTTTGCCCTTATTGGCTGAAAAGTTTAGTTACACGCATGACGTTTGTATCCCAGGGAGTTTCTGATGCGTAATCTGCTATTTCTCCCGAATATCACGTAAAGCAGTGAGAACTGGTTTTCAGTTAATTTACCTGATAAAATAAAGT